CCACACCCCCACCCCACACCCACACCCCACACCCACACCCCACACCCACACCCACCCTTCTTTCATTCTGGCGCGGACATTAGTTTTGGTGCAAGACAATGGCTATAAGCAAAAACTAATATTATTTTTTGATTGATATTTCAGCTTAAGAAAGAGACCTAAATATGCATCGACGTCGACTAGCTTTGGTCTTCGGAAATGATGACTACAGTGGTAAAGAAAAATTAAATAGTTGTGTCAAAGATGCAAATGATATGACAGTTGCATTAACGAACCTGGGTGAGTCTTTATGACTGACTCTTCAATGACTAATAAAGTTTTTAAAATTCGTCTTTTTGTATTCCAGGTTTTCAATGCACGAAATATCATAATTCAAATAAACGTGCCATGGATATTGCTATTAGAGACTTTCGTGCAAAAATTCGTGAAAATGACTGTATTTTAATATATTTTTCTGGACATGGCATGGAAGCAAACGTAAGAATTATGAAATATTTCTCAAGCTCATTGAAAAACGTCAGAAGAGTTAAGAAAATTTTCCTTCAAAAAGTTCGTTCTGATAAGAATGTCAGTAAGTTTCTGATATTCTCCCTTGTCATATAGCAATACACATTGTATCCAAACAGTTGGATTTGACTAGCTACCTGGGATAAGTATTGTATAGAAGTCATGCTTTGATATAATTTGACAGAGCTATTCTCAACAATATTTACACGGTATTTTTTGATTCTATTATTTGTGAGCCTAGTTTCCAAGAATACTAGACTTTAAAAATGACAGCCTAGTCAGCTATTCTTCGGCATAAGTTTCAAAGCTTTGGAATAGAGCAAAAGATTATGCATTCGAAGCTGAAATTCCGATGCTGTCTTTGTATTCCTAGGAAAAATAGCTCAATTTGCAGGAAGTCTCTCTTTTCCTTTGTGTCGATATACCGAAACTAATCTCTTAGCTAACCCTTTATGGCTCTCTTGAATCATTATTTTATTGTCACCTACGATTACTACTGGATTCGTAGAAGCAAATAACATAGAGAAATAAAATATCTTTCTAGATTTGACATATGGGTTTCATGGCTGAGATAAAGCGTTTTGTAATTATCTAACTATTGATATGTCACTATGTATAAAAATGATACTACGAAAGGTTTTTCAATGAATCTTTAGACAAATAGTATAATACTGGCTCTAGTGTAATTTTCCAAGGCACCACTCCTGAGCGATGATGCACTTATATATTCGATTAAATCAGATTACAGAAGTATTTTTTAATCGAATTTTATGTAGCGGATTATGATCTGTTCTAGTACATGTAACACTATTGCCGCCATTAAACTTGACTCGGTGTAATTTGTATTTCATCTTTAACAGCAAAAAAGGAAGCCTTTTGAGTTTAGATCTAAGGGGTATGTTATTGTTGGATATGATTCAATATGATTTTCTCCGAATAATTGGTAGAAAATCCACATTTTCTTCGAAAAAAATGAGAACATCAAGACTGAAGTTTTATTACGTCATTGTGCACTATTGTTAGTCTCTGTTAGATAACATATTGACAGGTTGACTACTACTTAAGAGATCCTTATATCGTACGTTTGGTAAACAGAGCTTCATGAGAAAAATTGACAGAATTTCTTATTTTCACTCTCTAGTTTCGATGAGTCTTCATTATTCTTAGATCACACCACATGGCAATGACTTTTAGATGCATTATTTTATTTTTATCATCATGATAAAAATATACTTTACCATTAGTGTAATTCAATATTACGGATTAAATCGGAGCTTCCACGTTTACGCAACAAACAACATAATCTAATATGGAATCCGTTCCTATCGTCAATTAGATAAAGATTAACTGATAGATCAGAATGTTCTATAGAAAATTAAATTGACAAAATCAATTGAAATAACTTATGATGAAATGATGCTCTGAGTGTTTTCTATTGATACCTGTGTTCCATGAGAATCATTTTCAATTAGTGCTGGAGCAGTATTAATAGGTTCATCGATTACAGTGACTGAAAAACGATCTGAATGAGTGTCATCTGTGTACTTAATTGGCATGAATTTTCTAGTACGTTAAGCTAATTTATCGGTCATGTAAAATTATTCTTCCATTTGTTCTTGTGAGAAATCTAAAGCAATATAAAAAGGTTGTGTCATGAATCCGAAAGAAAATGAGAAGTAAAACAAATGGCAAAACTCTGAAGTCTACAAATAAATACACAATAGTTAATATGTCTAAGGATTAATATAGCACAGTTTCATTCAAATTATAAGTTTGGGAAGAGTGTAGCTAAAGAACATTTTTAGTACTCTTTGAATATACGTATATATCGGTGAATCGTATTTCCATTTTGTTGTTATATGTCAGTGTGTATTTTGATAATATCTTCTGTTTCTTTTAGTAGATAAGACGAAAAAAAATAAAACATGACTTTGACTACAGACGAAAAGGTCAGACGTCACCGCAGTCAAGACATTTACTTCTATCTTTCCCTTACATTCTGATCAACAGTAGTTAGAGCTACAAAAATGAGGATTTGCCTTGTCCCAAAGATGAAATATCAAGAAATTTCTAACTTATACCGTTTAATCAGACAGTTTGACAAAAGATTATTCTTGACTTTGAACTTCAAATCTTTGTCAGAAAACTGCATAGAAACGTGACTCAATATGTACCGTTCGATTCGTTCTTCGAAGTTTGATCTAACTTCACTGTTGATTTTTCGATATCATGAGAGACTATAAAAGCCTGATTGTGATGGCTACTGTTATAGGTCAAGATTATTGCTACTGTTGATATAACATAAGAGTTTCAACATTCTATTCGATAAACCTACCTGAATGAAAATTACAATTTTACTTTTTTTACATAGTCCACTGAATAATGCTTTTTGAGTCTCATGAAATGAAAGAAATGTAGCTTTATCAAGTAGTTCCAATGATCCTATACTAGAAAAAAAATATTGATAGAATGGTGCTATTACATTCAGTTGCTGCTCTCAGCTCATCTAGGATAAGCTGTTGGAAAAATATGATATGTTTAGATAATCATTAATTATGTATCGGATGTTGAATTCATATTTCCAATATGAGCACTTTGATCTTTCATTCTTTTTTCTGCTAACTATATAAAATCGCATGATTCATCCATATATAGTTCTCCAGTGGCCTATGCCAACGTATGTCAGTGCAACACATACTAGTAAGCGTTTGAACATGTGTTTCTTAAAACACAAGAAATCCGAGATATCATTTTTTCTAAACTAAAAGCCCAGCAAATAATGTTATTTCGAGATGTGTTCATCGAATTTTGTTTTTTATGAAATCTAATCAATATCAGTTTTCGATAAATTGTTATTAGAGATGTTTTCATCAGTATTGTTTGTAAATAGAATTTTTCTGATTTCCTTCAAATTCAGTCTTGATGCCATGCTTTCTCCACAAAACACAAAAGAAATTTGCATTACAGAAGGCTTTATATTATTGCAAATGCTGTCAATAAATTTATTGATTCTAGAAAATCCATTGTAAGTCTCATTTCATTTATCACTATTAGCTGGATCTAACTGTACAAAGAGTATAAGAGCATTTCATTAAGAAAGAGATGTGTGTCATCACGAGTGAATTCTGCACACATATGCGCAGTATTTTAATTGGTATACATCATGTCCTGTGAAAATGGTGACCAAGTAACTTCTTCTTATTCGATTCTTCTATCCTCAATGAATAAACAGACAATAGTAGTCTCTTTTACACCAACGATATTGATTACATCAAGGGAGCACAGTCCATTGCAGAGACGTCTATAAAAGGACCCTAACTCTTCGATGAGTTAGAAACACTATTGCTAATTGCATCTACGAACCACGTTGGGGAACTTTGTTCATCAAAAAAGTGTAGTTGAAGATGACTAATGACCACTGGAGCGTATAAGTGTGAATGAAGAGAGCCATCACACACATTTTCACATCCTTCAACAGTTCTATCTATGTCATTTATTTCTTTCAGGGTAAGAACTATTTACTGCCAATCGAAGCATTGCACGATCCAGAAATCGATTGTATAAATTTGGATACCATGTTAAAGTATCTGAATGGTTCTGGTAATAATCTTTTAAACATTATTATTTTGGATGCTTGCCGAGCTGATAAAGCTAATGATACGTGGAAAATGAAAGCGACTAATGAAGAACCTTGTCTTACACCAGCATTTGGTAAAGCATTAACGTCACATGTTCGTATGCCAAACGAATCACAATTTGCTTTGATATTTTCATCTGATCCTGGCACAGTATCTTTCGGTAGTGAAATTGGTGGAAATAGTTTCTTTACTTCAGCACTGTTAAACCATTTGGCAACACCAAATTTAGAGCTTGATGGCATGATGAAGCAAGTTAGAAAAGAAATATTACAAAAATCATCAAATAAACAACGACCGTGGCTCCATTCATGTTTAACGGAAGAATTTTATTTCAATAAAGGTTTGTGATGAAGGCGCTTGCTCTTGAGCTTCTCTTTCTTCTCTTCATGATATCAAAACCTTATTAAATGCTTAGTACACTATATAATCTCATTCGATTTCCATCTCAAATCTGAACGATTCGAGTCCATGAGACTAGAGCTTCAATATAAATTAACTATCTTCCCTTGATTAAAAGTCAATAGAAGTCGATGAAATTCATTGAAGCTAGTGGATTCCGGGAAGCCGTTGTAGGCCAAAATGTTCAAAATCTTCTTTTGCAATGAACAAATCTTACTTTATGAAAGAGCGATTCGTTCGTTACACCGAAAGTGTTCTTCTTATAAACATTTGTTCAAAAACTTAGCTTGTCTTGGTTGAATTGAGTTTTGTACGAAAATCAATAAAAAAAAGCTTCAGCTCTTGTCAAATGATCAACCAAAGTCGGTTTTCTTGTGCAAGTGTTGATCGAAACATAAATGCATCGAGGATTTAAAAGTCTTGGCTTGCTTAGATGATTAAGTTAATTGTTGATTATATTGATGAATCGCGATGTATCGGTGTTTGTACCATGTTTAGCATCATTGAAAAGACCTTTCTTTGAGTGTATTATCAACAGCCCACCGCTAGACTAGGCAAGCGTGTTCTAAGCATTAGCGAAACATAAATGCGACAATTGGAATTCCTTAGAATAGGACATCATACCCGACACAGTGTTATGACACACTAATAATATATTATTTTGGTAACCTTCTAATGGAGAGAGTGAAAGGTTAATGCATAACTAATTCGTCAAATAGAAATAGTTGTAACATTCTAATCATGAACTAACACTTATAGTTGATATTCTGAAGCTATTTCTCCTTTAGAAAAGCTTTCTTTTTTTGTAAGAAAAATCTTCCTAATCAGAGTGTACAAGGAAACTTCACAAAGATACATAGAAAAATGAGGTATATTTTCAAAGAAACAAAATTATAATTTCAAACTACTCAATATTTTTTGAAAACCTATCTGTGAAATATGTGACGTAATCAAGTGAGCAAGACGATGGGTCATTTGAGTCGTAATCGATAGCTCCTACCGTATCCATCATAGCTCGAATCAATATTTCTGAAGTTGTATGTATCTAAAATTCTGACTCTTGAATAATCTGCATTCCAGAACAGCTACTAGAATGTGCCCAGTTTGTATGCGACCGCCGTTTTGAAGCACAGTCTAGCCTTATACATGCACTATTTCAGAAAAGGCAGATGAACACTTGAGCAAGCTTTTCCAAATCGAGTACATCTATCCTTCTTATTATTTTAGATTCGTTGCCGGTACCTCCTCCTC